TACTAGGTGTGTTTATGTGCATGCCCAGAATCCCAAAAGAAGTGAGAAATGGAGAAAGAATGATGGTGTGACCAGGCCCCATGGTGTGCTTTTCCTATGTGTATACTCCGTCTCTCTTTTTTTTGGGAGAGATTTTTGCTATAGGGCACGTGCGCTCGCCAGACAGAGAGAGACAGAGAGACAGAAAGCGAGAAATCACCCCCCAGGGGGATGGCCACGCCGCAATCCCTTCTCCTCCATTCTCCTCTCAGGATCTTGGGCATGCACGCACACGCACCTGGTGTGAGTTTAAGCCACCGGGTCCAGGACTTGAACCACAGTTGACAACGTGGGAGTCCAGCAACATAGCCATTAAGCTAACTGCTGGTCCCAATACTCCGTCTCTCTTTGTCTCCCTCTCCAACAAATGCATGCACTTTCTGGCAATTTTAAAAACAAAACAAAACAAAACTTTTTTTTGGGGGGGGGGGACAAGAACACTTTTTGGGGCCCACAGGTGGCATAGTGGTTAAGGTTCTGGACTTGCATGTGGTCGACTGCAGTTCAAATCCTGGACCCTGTGACTTGAAATTGATGCTGGGTGCATGTGTATGTGTGTCCAAAATCTCAAGAGGAGAATGGAGGACAAAGGATTGTGGTGTTGTGGGAGGCTGCGCCCCAGCGAATATCGCTCTTAGGTTTCGGTTTCTCAGAAAGCAAACAATTACAGGGAACCAGCAGTTAGCATAATGGCTATGTCGCTCGACTCCCACATAGTCGACCGCAGTTCGTGTCCCGGACCCGGTGGCCTAAAACTCAAGCTGGGCGCATATGCGTGCGTGCCCAAGATCCCGAGAGGAGAATGGAGGAGAAGGGATTGCGGCGTGACCATCCCCCCTGGGGGGTGATTTCTCGCTTTCTGTCTCTATGTCTCTCTCTGTCTGGCAAGCACACGCGCCCTACAATGAAAATCTCTCCAAAAAAAAGAAAGCAAACAATTACACAAAGCCAAAGGCCACAGTTGACTCTTTTCAAAACCGCACCTTTGAAACCATACTCTCATTGGCCACTTCCCATAGCAAATCCGTGAGCTTAGAATCCCTCAGATTTGCATATCTGGCACCTCATGATTGGTCCACAAAGAAACCAATCATAACCCACCTTTTTACAATCCTTCATTCAACCAATCACTGCCCACCAGCACGTATATAACTGCGATCCCTGGTCCACAATTCTCCAGACGATCCAGAAGACCCTGAAGAGTTGTGACACCGCGCCATCTTTGAACAACCCTGAAGAGTTGTGACACTGCGTCGTCTCCGGACGACCCTGAAGAGTTGTAACACTGTCGTCTCCATGTTGCCCACAATAAACGGACGACTCTCCTTGCTGTAACACTGCGTCGTTCATCCCGTCTCTCACTCCTTCCCTCAGGAAACCTGTTTGACTGTACCCTGGGTTGGGACATGGTGTGGCCATCCCCCCGTGGGGGTGATTTCTCACTTTCTATCTCTCTCTGTCTCTTTGGCAAATGCACACACACTACAGCAAAAAAATCTCTCTAAAAACACACACACAAAAAAAAAAACAAAAAAAAGAACTTATTAATGCTACCATTAGGTCTCTGGGGAACCAGGTGCAATCATGGCATTGCTGGTAGCACTGTAAATTCCCCTGGTCATCTTGGAGAGCTTTCTAGCAACTTAGTGACATTACTACTCCCTTGGGGCTGGCTCTGTGGTGTAGCAGTAATGTACTGCTCAAGAGAAGGTGGATTCCATGGGGTGGCTATAGTTCAGATTTCAGGCCGGGTTAGCCCGAACATGCTGGGCATGCATGTGAGTGATTGCCTGAGATCTGATAGGCTGAAGAACTGGAGAAGGGGGATTGCAGCATGACCTGACTGTGAATGGCGTTCATCTCTGCCCTTTTTATTTCACAAGCTCTATCATGAATAAATAAAAACTAAAAAACAAAACACTAAAACTTTTTAACTTACTATTTATTCATTTAAATTTGGCAGAGGGTACATGTATTTTCCGTAGACACACAGAGAGAGGGCAAGTAAGAAAACATCTCTAGGGGAATAGTCATACTGCAACCCTGGCTCCCATTTTTCCCACCTTTTGGGATTTGGGACACACACACGCACACACACGTTCCCGGTGTGTTTTTCAAGCTGCCGGGTCTGGGACTCAAACTGTACTGTTGGCTATGTGGGGCTCAGCTGTTTAAACCACGACGCCACAGGCTGGCACAAACCTTTTGATTTATTGATCTTATTTTTGGGAATATAATCCAAGAAAAGTAGTCATAAACTTTTTGTACTGTTGTCCAAAGATAAGTAACATCAATGCTATTTATTACAGATAAAAATGGGAAATACCTATATGTCCCAATATCCCAGAGGAGGAGTTGAGCAGCTTTTAAAAATATATCAATAGACAAAAAAAAAAAAGGGACTAGCAGTTGGTGTAATGGCTATGTCGCTGGACTCCCATGTAGTCGACTACAGTTCAAGTCCTGGACCTGGTGGCTTAAACTCATGCTGGGCACATGTACATGCATGCCCAAGATCCCAAGAGGAGAATGGAGTAGAAGGGATTGTGGCCACCCCTTCTGGGGTGGGTGATTTCTCACTTTCTGTCTCTCTGTCTCTGTCTTTCTAGTGAGCACACGCGCCCTATAGCAAAAATCTCTCAAAAAAAAAAAAAATCAATGGGCAGTGGCATAGTGGTTTAGATAGCTGGATCCCATATGTCCAACTGAGTGGTTTGAGTCCCTGACCAGGCAGCTTCAAAAATAAGCTACGTACATATGTGTGTGCACCCAAATCTCAAGAGGAGAATGGAGGAGAAGGGATTGCAGTGTGGCCATCCCCTCTGGGAAGTGATTTCTCATCTCTCCCCCTGCCCCATCCCCATCTCTCTCCAGTACTCTATAGCAAAAACTAGCCCCCCCAATAAAAGTGTATGTATGTATACACACACATATATCTTAATAGGGTATAAGTGCTATATAGCCCTTTATAAAACCAGGGATCATTGGGTGGCATGGTGGTTAAGGCAGTGGATTCCCACATGGCTGACTGTGGTTTGAGTCCCAAACCTGGTAGCTTGCTCTCTCTTTCTCTCTCTCTCTCTCTCTCTCTCTCTGGTGAATACACATACACTATAGCAAATTTAAAAATAATAATTAAAATTAAGTAATTTAAAAAAAAAACTAGGTCCTGTGTAAAATTTTAAATGGCAATTATGAAAATGTAAAAAACTCTATAGTTGTAAAAATTGAAGTTACTTTAGAAAAAGATAAATAGTTGGTATTTTAATTTCATTGGATTCTTTTTTAGTAGGATGTTTACAATGATTTTGTAGGGTTTAGAGAAAGGATACTGACCTGTCCATCTATGCACAGGTCAGGCAACTTAAGGAGATGGGAATAGGGGAAAGAGAAAGAGAATTAGGATTAACATAAGGAGAGAAAAGTTGTTAATTTTTTCTGTTTGTCCACCTTTTTCTTCTGGGGTAACCATGGTGTTCACCTTGCTCAGCAGGATCTTGATGCCATATACTCTCCTAACCTCAAGTGGCCCCAGATCACAGGTGCACACGTGCCCAGTGTACTCAGGGAGATGTCCAGACCCGAAGTTGGATCTCTCCCCGTGGGTCAGTCTTGTGGAGCATTGTGTTTTACCATTACACCACCATCCAGTCCTGGGAAAGTTGTATTTGAAGACCAGAGTGTTAACAGAGCACAACCTCTTTGTCTCCACTGCTTGGCAGACCCTGGAGATGGTGGATTAATACTAGCTGCTTTCACATTTAACTTAGTCTGGAATCCCAAACAAACCTCAGTTAGACGTCACAAACTTCCATTCTACATTTTCTTTTTTTTGAGACAGATTTTTGCTATAGGATACTTGTGCTCGCTGGAGAGACAAGCAGAAGAAATCAACCCCTGGGGGGATGGCCACACCGCAATCCCTTCTCCAGCATTTTCCTCTCGGGATCTTGGGCATGCATACACTCGGCATGCCTGGTGTGAGTTTTAAGCTACTGGGTCCAGGACTCAAACCACAGTCTAATACATGGAAGTCCAGCAACGTAACCATTATGCCATTTGCTGTTCCCTCGTTGCTGCTGCTGCTGCTGCTGCTTTTTTTTAAAAAAGAAAAAAGAAAATTATTTACTTTTATTATTTGAATTTGCTATAGGGCATGTGCACTCACAAGAGATAGAGAAAAGGGAGAAAGCAAGATGCCAGGTCAAGGACTCAAACCACAGTGGACCATGTGGGAATCCAGTGACTTAACCACCGTCCTATTGGTCCCTTTTTAGTAATTTTTAAATTGTGATTTCCAGTTTACTTACTGGGGTACAGTATAGCTTTTCAAAGCTTGTATACAATGTGTCACAGTCAAATCAAGGATTATAGACATACTCATCTTGTTCACGATTGAACATTCTGTTCTATTGTGCACGTTTGATGGTCGTTCTAGCTGGTTTTCCAAGTGTATGTTGAATTGTCAGTGCATTTTTACTCTGCTGTGGTACACCGTTCCATAACTTATTCCACTTTGTTCTCCTCCTTTTCCAAGGTAGATGTCCACTACTGCACCTTTGTAAAGGCTGCTACCCTGTGTGACATTTCCACTGTCCCCTCTCTCATCTTTTTCCTTCCTCTTTCACTTGGTAGGTAATTGCTGGCTTCAACCGCCTTCGGCAGGAACAGCGGGGCCTGGCGTCCAAAGCAGCGGAGCTGGAGATGGAGTTGAATGAGCACAGGTGGGAAAGTCTGAGATGAGAAGCGAACAGTAGGATGGTCGGGTGGGCTGTTGTCGGGAAGGATGCAGGGACTGAATTCTCAGGTCCTGCTTTGTCCTCCCCAGCCTGGTGATCGACACACTGAAGGAGGTAGATGAAACTCGCAAGTGCTACCGCATGGTTGGTGGGGTACTGGTGGAGCGGACTGTCAAAGAAGTGCTGCCTGCCTTGGAGAACAACAAGGAGCAGGTGAGAGGGATTTAGGGGACATGATGGAAGAAAGTGGGTGGAAAAGTCGTGTTGAAGACAGCACAGAGAGCTTGTATCTGTGCTCTGTGTCCAGCTTAGACGAGTGGAGCTGCTGCCATGCCCCGTGCATGGGCTCTGTGACCTGCCTGAGATGGGTCGGCAGTTAGAGCAGTGTTTCTCACAGTATCGTCTTCATGGATACCTGCACCCAAATCACATGAAAGACTAATTTAAAATAAGCTTCCTGGACTCTCTACTTGACCCGCTGATTCAGAACTTTTGGGAATGTCATGACATTTTAAAAATAAAGCAGTTGAGGTGATTCTTCTGTTAGTTTATAAATCGTTTGAGAAAGGAAGAATTTAGCCTATTAAGTAGATACATATGGGTTTTTGTTTTTTTGGGGGGTTTTCTTGGTAGTTTTTGCTATAGGGTGCTGAAGAAAGACAAAGTGAGAAATCATCTCCCATGTGTGATAGCTACACTGCAGTTCCTTCTCCTCCATTCTCTTGGGATTTTGGGCATGCACATCCATGTACTCACTATTAATTTTTGGTTAAAGATGAGGCTAGCAGGTGGAGTGATGGTTGGGGGAGCTGGACTCCCATATGGCCAACCATGGTTCGAGTCCCAGACCTGGTGGCTTGGTTTCTCACTTTCTTCTCTCCCTCTGTCACTCTCTGGTCAAATAAAATAAATAAAGCTAAATAAAATAATTTTTTAAAAATTTGGTTAAAGGTAAGATTAGAGGTATCTCTCCTAGGGCCAGCCAGTGGCGTGGTGGTTAAGGTGCTGGATCCTACATGGCCAACTTTGTGTTTTGAATCCAGGACCGACCCAGTGGCTTGAAAATCATACCGGGTTCATTTGAGTGCATGCTCAAAATCCCAAAAGAAAATGGAGGAGAAGGGATTGTGGCGTGGCCATCCCCCCTGGGGGGTGATTTCTCGCTTTCTGTCTCTATGTCTCTATCTCTGGTGAGTGCATGCATGCTGTAGCAAACTGTAAATAAAAAAGACTTCTCCTTCACTTCCTCCACTGTAGTCCAGTCTGTGAGGGGGAAGCGAGCCTTGAGATCTTTATGTAATTTCTGTTGCTTGTCCCCTAGATACAGAAGATCATTGAGACATTGACACAGCAGCTTCAGGCAAAGGGAAAAGAACTAAATGAATTCCGGGAAAAGCACAACATCCGTCTCATGGGGGAAGATGAGAAGCCAGCAGCCAAGGAAAACTCAGAAGGGGCTGGGGCTAAGGCCAGCTCAGCTGGAGTGTTGGTCTCCTAGGGACCGAGGCCTTTGCATTTTTTTCTACCCTGATTCCCACTTCTTCTAATTTCTCTTTATTGTTATTATTATTATTATTATTTTCTCTGCTATTGTAATATTTTTTTGTTAATTAAATGTTTTGGTCAGAATGGTTCGCTGTTGCCTGACACTTTCTCCTAATTAGGGGCGGAAATCACTTGAGGCAGGGGACAGCCCAGGAGTCCATCACTTTAATAATGGCTTACGGTGGCAGAGAGGACCCATATGGGACCCTTTTCTTTGCCAATAAAGATATGTCTACTTACTTACTGCCTCCTCCCCCCCCAAAAAAAAAAATTCAGACACAAACATTGACTCTCAGGTTGAAATTTAAAATTTAATAAGCATTCAGAGTGAGGCAGATAGCTTTGGTGATAATGCTTTGTGGGTTTACAGTCAAACAGCCTCAGTGGTGTATCTTGGCACAGTTCTTTAGATAAGGAGGTCCAGAGTGCAAACCTGTGGACTAGCTGTCCTGCCATCCTCACCAAAACCGCCAACCAGGTAAAGCTGATCATTCCAGAGGCAGGTACGATGGCCCACACGTTTCAGCCCACGGTCTGCACAGGGGAAGTGGAACCACAGAGGAGGAGACTTGCCTGTTGGGTGGGGACAAAGGTGGTTGCTGGGACAAAAGCATTTCATCAGGCCTGGAACTGCCCACCACCCAAGGATTGCCCCTTGCTTTCCTCACTTGAGTTGTGGGCCTCTCCGATGTTTAATGCCCTGTGTACTTCTTTACCTCTGGTCAGCCCGTTCCTCTGCCCCATCCCTTCCCCCCATCCTCTTCATGTAGGTCTGTGTTCTCCATCTTCCCACTTTCTCCCCCTTCAGCCACTAGTCTGGCTCTTACGGGTGTCATAGATGTAGAGGTCATTGCAGATGGTATCTCTTGCTCTGGTCAGAGTTTCTCCACCAAATAGCACAGCAAAAGGCCCCACCACAGAACACGAGTGATGCCGGAGTCCCCGGGGCCCTTGCAGGGACCCCCTGCCACTGCTCACAAGCCTTGCAAGCTGTTCCATCAAATGAGGAGCAACTGGTGGGTCCTCCTTGGGGGAGAGAGAAAGAACCATGTGAGGGGGAGCTGGGCATCAGTTTGAGCCCCCTTCCATCCCAGCAGGTTGTGTGTAGGTAATACCTTAATCTTCCCAGGACTCCAGTTTCCAGCTACTTCTGGTTCAGCTGAGTTGCAACCCCCAAAGAGCAAAAGCTGATGCCCTGGGGGGCGCCCAAGAGTCTGGAGCAGGGCAGCGCAGTGACCTGAGCGGGAGACCGTGTGGCAGCTTTCTTCCTTGTAGCTGTGGGTATGCAGAAGTCCAGGCCTGAGCGGGCCTTACCAGACTGTGCTTTCTACGCTTCCCCTGCCCTTGCCCAGGACAGGAAGGAGGCCTGGAGCCCAGCTGGAGGTAGGTTGAACAGGAGGGTAATACTGACTACAGGGAAGGAGGGTGCTAGGATGAGGATATGGAGAAATGGCCCGAGAAATGTTGAACTGCTGCTGCAGCTTTTGACTTTACTTATTTTTAATTTTTCCTTTTTTCCCCCCAAATGTAGACAGGGTCTCTATGTTCTGGTCCTCCTGCCTCAGCCTCCTAAGTGCCTGAGATAGCCCGTTCACGCAGAGGTTTTAGGGTGGGCTCAGAATGGAACAGGGCCTCCATGTGGCCTCACCCCCCGGGTGACATTGCCTAGCATCACGTGCTGCTGCGGGCGGGGCTGTTTGGCTTCTGCGTTTCCAGAGAGTAGATGGACCGTTGGGGCAGGAGGTTCCGTACCAATATGTGCGTGCGCCAGGGTCCAGCTCTAACGTGTAGATGCTTCCGTAACGTCGCTGCGTGCGGATACCGCCCTCCCGGCCGGCCACCCGCAGCTCGCGGTCCGAGAGGCGGGTGCAGGTGTGGCTACTGAGGCCGGCCGGGGGGCAGCTGCCTGGGATCCCCGTCCAGGCCTCCCACACTCCGCGCTCCGCGTCCAGCGCGGCCACGGTGGCCAGGCGGCGAGAGCCATCCCAGCCGCCCACCACGCAGAGCCAGCGCCCGCCCACGGCCGCCGCCTCGTGGTGACTGCGCCGGGGGCTGCCCCGCGCTTCCAGTCGCACGGCCTGGCCCTCAGCAGGGTCGAAGACCACCGTGTCACTGCTGGGCTCCCTCGCCCCTCCTGCTAGGAGGCCCCCCACGAGATAGAGCCGTCCCCGAAGTTCAGTGCATGAATGGAAGGCTCGAGCCAGAAGCACGTCCCGCGCCACGGGCCGCCAGGCCCAGCCCGAGCCCCCCGCCCCACCCGGGGACACTGTCACCGCCATGGGCCGGGGGCAGGGGGCGCGTTGCGCGTCTGCGGCTCGGAGCGCGCCCTACATGGGGGGCCCAGGCCCCAAGCCTTCCGTGGGCTTCCCCAGGAACCCACCTCTAGTCGCAGCCTCTCCCGTCGCCCAGCAACCTCTGCAGCCGCAGAGGCGGGATCGCTGCAAACCCAAGGTCGCAAAGCGCCGGTTACCGTGGAGACGGACCTGGTAGCTAATGAGAAATCGGGAGGTGGTGAGACGTGCGAGCTCAATAAACGCCTTGAAGGATGGGTGACCTCAGGCAGTCGGGACAGCCAACTCCCCAGAGGAACCCACAGTAGCTTGCAATCGTGACATTTGAGGCGCAGGTGTTGCTCCGTGGGGGCGGGAGGGGACCCCGTCCTTTACTTTTCCTAGGTTTTTGCCATAAGGCCTGTGCGCTCGTGGAATAGAGACGGCGACAGAGGGAAAGTGAGAAATCACCCTCCTCCCCAAGGCGGAGGGCCATGCCGCAATCCCTTCTCCTCCGTTATCTGTGCACAGAGATTTGGGGCGCGCAGGTCGCCCTGATTTTCAAGCTGCAGGATCCGGAACTCAAGGATCCTGCCGTGGTGGGCCTTGTAGGAGTCCAGCACTGTAACTACCGCGCCAACTGCTGGCCCTGTGCTTTTAGCTGGCCATTTCTTAACTGGCACTGACCTCCAGTAATCAGCTAGGAAGGGAAACCAAAGTCAGGGGAAGGCGTGAAAGCAGGCCGAGCAGTGGCCTGGGGACCAGGGGACCTGGGCTCTAGTCCCAGCTGTGCTGCAGCACTTACGGTGGCCGCTTCTTTCCGGGTGCAATGATCCGGTTTATGATACGCGCTCTTGGTTTATTCCTGAGGTTTCTTCCAGGCCAATGATGGGGTAAAGGTCCTGATAGATTGGGCCGCGAAGTCCTTTCAGCTCTGGCCACTAGAGGGTGGTAGAACCCAGTTTCTCAGGGCACCCCGAGCGCGCGCGCGCGCGCGCGCGTGTGTGTGTGTGTGTGTGTGTGTGTGTACACACGGTTGTGGCCTCGCACTTGGTTGAGTTGAGGGGGAGGGAAAATACCTTAGGTATGTTCAAGCTTGGAGAACTTTTCACTGCCAAGTTTTAAACAGGGCTATTCTTCATTTCTTTTTGCCTCACTGTCCTCATACAACCCAAGGAAACTGAGGCACTGGAACTCAGGATTAAGGGCGGGGAGTTTCTCCTGATAAGATCCAGGACAGAAGCTGCCCAACCTTAAAAGCCGGACAAGGGTGAAGTACTAGAGGAGCGAGAAAAACAGACTCCTGTCCCTCCCTGATAGCTTCCTCTTATTCAGGCCAGGCCCTTGAGCTTAACTCTGCTCCACGGGGATCCAGGGGAGCATGAAGCCTAGACCCAAGCTGACTGGATTCAGCTGCAGGAGCAAATGCAGACAGATTCCTATTCCCCCTGTAGCTTGGGGGTGGAGGAGGGGACAGGGTCTCTGTCCCCCAGGACTGAGCTGCAGGTGAAAATGCTGACTGCCCATCCTGGCTGAGAAGTGAGGCCCACAGTGGTGGGGGCTGCAGTGGGGTGGCCGTGTGATGCAGGCGTCTGAGAGCACAGCAAGGCTTTCCCTCCTGATCCCAGCTCCTGGTGCTCAGAGAACAGGCACAGGGAGGCCATGGGCAGGAGGGTTGCACTGGAGGGTTGCCAGGACCTGCTCCCTACCTGCACCTGGGAGCTGAGGTCTAATAGTCCCTTTGAAAGTCTCTGCCCACACAACTCCTGACTTAGCTTTCACTCATAGGCAGAATCCCTGGTTTTCTAAGATCATGGTAAAAATCTCCTTTTGGCGGGCTGGCAGGTGGCTTGGTGGTTAGGGTACTGGACTCCCATGTGGATGACTGCGATTCAAATCCTGGAACTGGCGACTTACTTTCTCACTTTCCCTTTCTCTGTCTTTCTCTGGTCAAATTAAATAATAATAATAAATAAGGTTAAATAAATCATTCTTTTTTTTTTCCCTTAAAAGAGATTTTTGCTATAGGGAGTGTGCACTTGCTGGAGAGACAGAGAGACAGAAAGTGAGAAATCCCCTTTTCCCCCAGAGGAGATGGCCATACCACAATCCCTCTTCCTCTGTTCTCTTGGGATCCTGGGTACACATGCACACGTGGCTGCAATGAGGGTTGGTTTTTTTTTTTAATTTATTTAATTATTGTAGTTATTTAATTTTATTACATTTTCAAATCGGAAAACATCAAAACATAGTATTTATATCAACACCTGAGAACTGTTCAACTCAGCACAGCATCTTCATACAAACAATATGAAAGAAGACCAAGTTTAAGTTAGACTCTCCTCTTATACGTGGTAAAACGTGTGACACCATCTTTTAGATAGTTGCATTCATGTATAAAGTACATTTGCTTGTCTAAAAAGAAAATGTACATTCAGAGGCCAGCAAGTGGCATGGTGGTTAAAGGTGCTGGATTCCCACATGGCCCACTGCGGTGGGAATCCTGGACCTCGCGACTTGTTCTCTCCCTTTTCCTTTGTCTTTCTCTCTGGTCAAATTAAAAACAAAAATAACAAGTGGAATTAAATAAATAATTCTTAAAGAAAATAAAAGAAAATGTATATTCTTGCCCTCATGAACATTTTATTAGCATTTACAACAAATGGCTAATACTTTTATAACCAGTTCTTATAGCTTATAAACATTACACCAAAGTTACACAAATAATAAATATATAGCACCATTTCTCCTAAGAAGTTCTAATGTATAAAATAAAGCCTAAAACAATAAGTCAGAACTAATGTATCTTTTTCTTTTTCTGGAGAGGTTTTTGCTATAGGGCACATGCACTTGCCAGAAAGACAGAGAGAGACAGAAAGCGAGAAATCACTCCCCTCCCAGGGGGCATGGCCACACTGTTATCCCTTCTCCTCCATTCTCCTCTCGGGATCTTGGGCACACGCACACACACGCCCAGCGTGAGTTTAAGCCACCGGGTCCAGGACTCGAACCGTGGTCAACTACATGGGAGTCCAGCGACATAGCCATTATGCTAACTGCTGGTCCCCAGAACTAATGGATCTTTTAAGATGTAGTGAAATAAATGGTTCAGAACTAAACAAATTAATTAGAAACATTGTATCAGGTAGCGAACTTTCCTGTGTGGAAATCAATCTATAAATAGTTTCTTATCCCCTGAGCAGCAAGCTGAGAGTACTGGTGATAGCAAACAATACACTTTGTTTGTTATGGAATAAAAACCTCTACCTATATACCTCAGTGGCAGTGCAAAGCGGCTGGCATAAGTTTTAGGCCACCAGGTTTGGGACTCGAACTGCAGTTGACCATGTGGGAGTCTAGGGGCATAGCTGTCATGCCAGCTGCTGGTCTCTAAATAATTCTTTTTTAAAGAACTTTTAAGGATTATTTTATTTAACTTTATTTATTTATTTTTAAATTTGATCAGAGAGGGACAGAGCGAGAGAGAGAACACAAGAAAAAGTGAGAAAGCAAGACACTAGGTCTGGGACTGGAACCACAGTTGACTATATGGGAATCCAGGACCCTTAACCACCACGCCACCTGCTGGCCCCTTGAAAAAACTTCTATAAAAAGACTTATGTCCTTATTTATTATTTTAATTTGCCATGGTACATGTGTGCTCACCAGACAGTGGGGGCAGGGGATGGGGTGGAATTTGAAAGCAAGCAACCATGTCTGGGACTTGAACTGCAGTTAGCCATGTGGGAGTTCAGTACCCTAACCACCATGCCACCTGCTGGCCCCTAAAACTTTCTTGAAAGTCACCAACTTCTGGGCCAGGGAATGGTGTGGTGGTTAAGGTGGCTGGATCCCATATGGCCAACTTTGTAGCTGAGTCCCGGACCCAGTGGCTTGAAGAACATGCCAGGCACATGACTGTGCATGCCCAAAATCCAGAGGGGAGAATGGAGGTGATGGAATTCCAGCATGGCTGTCCCCCCGGGGGATGATTTCTCACTTTCTCTCTCCCCAATACCCAGTGAGCACGTGCCCTACAGCAAAAATGAAACAGAGCAAAATCTTTAACTTCTTTTTTTAAATTTTATTTATTCACTCATTTATTTTAATTTGATCAGAGAGAGATACAGAGAGAGAGAGAGGGAAAGTGATAAAGCAAGCCACGAGGTCCGGTACTCGAACCCTAGTCAGCCATGTGGGAGTGTCCAGCACCTTAACCACCATGCCACCTGCTGGTCCCAAAATCTCTAACTTCTTTTTCTTTGAGAGGTTTTTCACTATAGGGCAAGTGCGCTCGCCAGACAGACAGAGGGAGACATAGAGACAGAAAGCGAGAAATCACCCCCCAGAGGGAATGGCCACGCCGCAATCCCTTCTCCTCCATTCTTCTCTCAGGATCTTGGGCACACATGCACACGCGCCCGGTGTGGGTTTTAAGCCACCGGGTCCGGGACGCGAACTGCGGTCAACTACGTGGGAGTCCAGCAACATAGCCATTACGCTAACTGCTGGTTCCCCAAAATCTCTAACTTCTAACAACTGTGACTGAGATCTGAGTGGGAGCCTTCTCCCCGAGGCTTCTCACTGGCTGATCTCCCAACAGCTGGACTCTTCTTACCTGTCAGACTCTGAGGGTTAGGGCAGGAGCCGCCTGGGGGGTGGGGTCATTTTGCTGAAACTTTATTGGCCTATAAGCCCATTTTAGGCTCTTGCTTTTGCCCAAGTTTTTGGCACTTCTGCCAGACTTATTTTCTGCTTCTCTGGATAGAAATGGGAACTCCCCACCCCAAGGGCCTTCCCGGCTCCTGCCGCTCAGCTTTGTTTTCCTTCTCCTCCCAGATTCCACTCTCGCTCTGAGTCCTCGGTGGTAGACATCTCACTTGGGCATGGAGCCTGAACCTCGTAAACTCCCTGGCTCCGGCCTCTCCAGCTCCGAAGCTCCCCCAGTCCTACTTTGTAGCTAGAGGCGGCTCTCACTGCTGAGCCAACCCCAGACTCAAGGAGAGGACCTGCCTAGGATTCCTACCACCCCTGAATGGTCTCAGCCAAGCCCACATTTTGAGGAAGGTAGAAGAGAGGCCAGAGGGGCCAGCAGATGATGTGGTGGTTAAGGTGCTGGGCTCCCACATGGCCATCCACAGTTTGAGTCCCGGATCCAGCAGTTTGAAACATATATCAGACGTGTGTGCGCGCGTGTATGCGTGCCCAAAATCCTGAGAGGAGAATGGAGAAGGGATTGCAGTGTAACCATCTGCCCTCGGAAGTGGTGTCTCTTTCTGTTTATCTGGTGCGTGTATGTGCCCTATGACAAAAGTCTCTAAAAAATAATAGTAACAACAATAAACACAATTAATTATAATTCCTTTAAGAAAAGAATATTCTGGAAAAGAAAAATCTTGTAATACAAGTCAGTTGGTGGCATGGTGGTTGAGGTGGCTAGATCTCACATGGCCACCTGTGTGGTTCAAGTCCTGGACCCAGCATCTTAAAAAACATGCTGGGAGCCTGTGCGTGTGTGCCTAAAATCCTGAGAGGAGAACGGAGGGGAAGGGATTGTGGCATGGTCATTTCCCTTGAGGGGTACCTTCTCACTTTCTCGCTCTGTCTGTCTCTCTCTGGTGAGTACAACAGATTTAAAAAAAAAAAAAAAAGTCTCGTAATTCCGCCGTGATCCTGTGTGCTTGGCATGTCTCCGTTGGCCGTCTCTAGCGAGCAAGGATCCCGAGGCCAGCTTCCCAGCCCCAAATGCATGCACTTCACGGAGCTCTTACTGTGTGTTCTCGCCTTCGTTCCCCTCTTCTGACTCTGGGATCATCGCTGGGTCTCAGCATTGTTCAGCTGACACAGAAAGCCCACAGCTGCACCAAGGGGCCTTCGCCACACTCCCAGGAT